GAAAGGCAGTAGGAGTCAACTGCACCTGCAGGGGTAGCACCCCTGCAAGAAGAAGAAGGAAGACCTGACCCCATAAAGTCCATCCTAGCAGGAGTCAGGAAGACCTGAGTTAGGACAAATAGCTTGGGACCTCAGCAGCTTTGAAGGTAACCTGGCAGGTGTATAGGGATGCCCACCATGCCATTGCTAATGCTACGGATGGGCTGTGGTGGCGATCAGCATGGGCAGGCTGAGCAATTGGAATGGAGACAGCACTACAGAGGCAGTGGGGGAGCAGCACAGCCTGTGTATGACTGCAGGACCTACAGGTTAACATCTCTTCATGGAAAGCAGGAAATGGACTTTCCCATTCTCCCTCCAGTGAAGAATTCTGGCTGTGCTCATTTGATGCTGGGGGTTTGTTAGCCTCCAGCCAGTTAAGCAGAGTGAAATAAAAGCACATTAGTTCATTTCATCCAGCCTGTAGAGGTGAAGAACTACTGTCAAAGACAATGGTGGTGGGTATGTTGCTCTTCAGCCTGATGCTGCTCATTCTTCATTGTTTCCTCAAATTAGTTAGATATTTCTTATGGTTTTAATAAAGGCTACTCAATAGACACTCAGTGCCTGTAAGAAGAGAAGAATATGATGTGGAGAAAAAAAAAAAAGAGTGCTTGAATTCTCCTGGCTTTCTGTGTATGGGTTCAAATTGCTTTATTTTGGAGATGCCCAGATACTGAACTAAGTCTTCACTGTCTAGAAAAAGACAGGGGAGAAAAAGTAAAGTAAATCTGGGGGCTAGCTGGTGGCTTAGAGTAAACCACATACCATCCCTCTTTTGTGCAGGTCAAATGTACTAGAAAATATAATTACTTCTGAATTAACCCTGAGACCCTGAGTTATATCCTCTATACTGTGGCAGATGTGGCATGCTTTCAGACACCAGAAATTCAAAGCTAATTTTCTAGGCTGGGATAAAAGGACTTGATTCCCACTAAAGAAAAGGCAGTGTAATTTCTCCCATGCACACACATAAGGGAATGTGATGCTTGAGATTTTAAGGTATAACTCTCTCTTGCCCATGGAAAGGAGGAAAAAAATACTGGAAAACCTTTCATTATTGTTAAGAGGATTTTTAAAGAGCCTGATCCCATGCTAAGTAACCACAAGAGCAAACACACGCTTCTGTCAGATGGGGAGGCTTTCCCTCTTCCTTGGCAGCTGAAAAAATGAAATCTGATGTATAAAATATATCTTGCAATTAATCACCTGACTTGGTCATGCCTCCTAATCTCAAATTTGAGAGCTGTCTGGAAACTTGAAAGTACTTTGGGGATAAAATAATGGGCATTGAGCTTATTTTCTAGCAAGCCAAGCTTTGGGAGTCTGCCAGCATTAGTTAGGATTATTGGACCATACCTAATCGAAGCAAGGAAAGGCATGAGCTGAAGTCTCGACTATCTGAAAATTCAGAGAGTGATGAGCAAGACTGACCTCTCTCAAGTTGTGAGATAAAAAATAAATGGTCAAAAAAGAGGTTGAGAGCTAAAAATAAAGTCCAGTACCCTGTGAACCTGTGAAGAACGATGAGGATCATTTTGCTTTTCAGCATCTTCTCTACTTCCTTGCAGGGAAAAAATTTGTTCCCAGAGCACCCCACCAAGAAGGTTTTATGTCCCTTGTTACTCAGCTCCCTGAAACTGTGAGGTATGTTTCAGCATGCAAATGGAGCTGGAAAGGAAATTTGCCTTGGCAGGCAAATTTTGACCCCCAAAAGCATGGTCATCCCCTCACATCCACAATGGAAAATACCAATGGCTCTGAGGAAGTGGCTGACAGCGATGGCTGTAGTGTTAGGAAGTGAAAAGATATCAGTGGAGGCTCCTTTTTAGAAGGGAAAAATAAGAAATAACCTGAAGAAGGTGCTGAACATTAATTCGCCTTGTGCTAACAGACCCTTGGATGAAACAGACAGCTTTTAAAGGGAGAAGTTGGAGACCCAGCACAGCTGACCTGAGAGGAACTACAGTCTAAAGGTGAATCTGCAGTCAAGCGTAGGACTTTCTGGTGTCTCATGGTGGACAGAGAGAAAAATGGGGCCAGGGAGGTGAATCCTTTAACCCTGCCTCCAAGCTCTTTCCTCACTGGGAACGGACATGTGCTTAGAGTCAGGCTAAAGGCATTTACTGGATTTGATCAAGATACTGAACATAAATTTTTCAGGTCAAGGCACAGATGATTTTGGTGCTGTAGGAGGAGAGGTGACATCACTGTCACCTTCCAAAATCTGGGCTGACAGATGAGAACCACACAAACTGAAAAGGAAGCAGTGAGTAAAAAGGGAAGTAAACATTTTATACAGAGTTATTGCTTTTAAAAGAGGCTAATAAGATGAAACTACCAGCCTTGTTACATGTTGAGCAGCAGTTTTGAAAGTACCTTCAGTGAAGGAGGAGGGGGAAGATGCAGATTAGATTTAGTAGACAACTGAAACTGAGCAGCAAGGATCTGTGGCAGGAACTGAAAATAAAATAAAATAAACAAGTCAGAGGCAGCATGCAGAGATGACTTTTTTTTTTTTTTTTTTTTTTCACAAATCCTCCTTCATGTGAGAATTTCCTGAGACTAGCAGTCATGAAGATAAAAAACTGAGCAGGACAATGCTGGGTATGATCATGCTGAGGATCTCACAGCAATGATATTGCAAATGCTGGGGAAGAGAGAAGAATCCACTAAGGGCAAATGGCAGAGGTGGAAATCACACAGAACAAGGCTTTGGGAACATGAGCTAAAAGTAAAAAATTTCCAAGGGAAAAAAGGTTTTACCTTTGCATTGTGGATGTGCAGCAACAACCTGACTACAACAAATGTGTTTGGGATTCAACTCAAATGGTGAAGGCAACAGAGCTGTGCTGCATTAGAAGCTTCTGCAGTTCACAAAGATTCAATTTTGGTGATTTACTCACTTGGGTGTGAACATCAGAAGGCCCCGTCCAATATCTACGCTTACAGGAACAGATCCCACACATCACTGTTGTTTTGCTTGTGTGTAGCCTCCATCACCAGCTGGTTGGGTCTCACTTTACAGAGTGTGGGATCAAAAGGATCTTTTTCAGATTTCTGTTAGACTCTCTGTGCTTCACAGATATAGATGTCCCCTTTTATTTGGTACAATCAACAGGATGCTTTCTTCTGGTGTGATGATCGCAGGTAAATTCCCTATTTCATTACAGGAGTAATATGTTCACTTGGATTGTTTCTGCCACTCATCTTCTGTGTCTAGTTTCAGAAAACAAACAAAAAAAATTAAGCATGGAACTCAGTCAGCGTCTCTTTGCCTGTGTGACATGTGACAACAGGAAAAGGATATTTATAACTAGCTCTTCATTTAGGCTTAGCCAATGAAGCCAATTCTTGGTGAAAGCAACAATCTCAGTGGAAAACAGAAGATGAACCTTGGGAATAGAGAGAAGCATTTATTTTAGGTCCTAAGTTACTTCTATATTACAAGTCAAGGCCCTCTTTCATGTAAAACTTTGTTGGAGTTCTGTTTTTATTTGAAGCTTCTCTAAAGCCTGCTTCTGATTTCACCTATGGTGCCATTATTTATGTGGCAATGCATTTATTAGCCCACTTCAAGCTCTGAACAGCAAAACTGACCACCAAACTTTTCAGAACATGATAAAAAATACATTTATAAGACATTTGTGTCAATATTTTATGGCTATTGTCATTCTAAAAGGCTTACCAGGTAGTTCATCATTTATTTGAAGTATATAAATCTGGCATTTCCAGGATTTGGTTTGGTATCAGATTATGCTCTGTTACTCAAGTGCAAATTCCCTTCCTCTTTTCTATCATATTATAACTACAGTCTTCAATTTGAAAGGGAATAGTCTCCTACAAATAAAATTTTATCTGACTACTACAAATGCCAGGAAACTTGAACTCATCTTGGCTTCTGTCATACTGCTTCACAGTCCATCTCTGATGGAGAGTATATTTTTCCCAATAAATGAAATAAAGTGATACTTTCAAGACACTTGACTAGTTTTATGGCTTCCAGAAATAGTGCTACATCTCACAGAGCACAGATACTCAAGAGCTCTGTGCAGACTTTCCAGTGATGCTGTTATCACCTCCTGGCACTGAACAGCAACAGGAATCAACCCATTGCTCCTTCTTCAGACATCTGATAATGCCACTGGTGGCATTTTTGTTCTGGGAATATGGTAGCCCTACTTTCACTTTATGATGTAGTTTATAATCAGAAAGCATAGTAAAGCTGTACCACTGTATTATCTATGTGTCTCTGGTGCAAAGTTCAAACTGCTTTCCTTGTTTTTTCTCCAATTATTAAGTGGAACGAGGCTGTTGTCTTTTGATATCAATGCCAGATCAATCCTCATTCATAACAAGCAGGAAGAAAATTAGAAATTACTTTCACTTACTTACAAGTGGTGTCCAAAAATGCCTAACAAAAGCTGGATGACCAGACCCTGGACTGCCTCTGTGTGCTTCTTGCAGTAAGTACTCATCAGCCAGTGTGAACGTGCGTTTTCTGTATGTGGAAGACAATGAAATCACATCTGCTCATTTTCATTGTATACAACATGTGACCATGGCACATCATGGCCTTTTCCCAGCACGGACAGATGGCAGAAATTTAGTTGTCCATAACAGCACAAGACCCCAAAAGCTACTTTAGCTGACTACAGGCAGTTATCTGCAGCACAGTTATCTTTAACTGAGCTATTAGCAAGCTCCCTACACAGCCAACAGAAGAGGGCATTTTTGGGGAGCATGTTTCTGCCTTATTTTAGATGGTTATTTAAGGCCGAGCTGAATCACGCTTAAGGCTCTATTGACAATTGACCAGGGACCTTTCCTGGTCACTAGGCAGCCCAGCTGACCTCCATTTAGGCAGGTAACTCCTACCCCCATTTCACTCAGCTGCAGTTAAGAAGTGCCACTCCAAAAGTGAGTAGCATCAATAGTGGTATGGAGTCTGCCTGCTCTCTTGTAACTAGGCCCCCTTGAAAGGTTATTTTGGGGCACCCAGGAACAGCTTAAATTTGCTCCTCCTGGTCTATGGCAGCTTCCCCTGGCTGCCACTGAGGCTTGTCAGCTGCTGCCATTGGAAATGCAGTTTGCATCTCACCACATCAATAAAGGTGAGTCAAGCACTGTAAGGGTAGCTCTAAAGGCTCATTTCATTGATGTTTGCTGTTATTGAGTACATATATAACTTTCCTGCCAGCAGGAGATGGCTGTAATAAGGCCAGTCTGTTTTATGAGGAGGGAACCTTCCAGGAAGAAAACACAATAGTTCATACTTCTTTCCCAAATGCTTTCATATTTCCAACTTTCAGAAGAAAGATTTTTGTTTACAGGATATTTTCCCGATGGTTCTTTCTTGCGCAGAGAAGTCCTTAGGAACAGACATACATGGCTCTCTTCCTTGTGGCAATAGAAGAACTATGTCTGATAACCATACATCATACAACAGAAAGTGTGGCTGATGTTACTAGAACACAGCCAGCCCTGCAGCTGCGGGTTAACAATATAGGCATATAAGAAAAAAAAAAACAAAAACCAAACCAAAACAAAAAAAACAAACATACTTGCAAGCATAAGATTGCCCTCACAAGCCCATCCATTGGACATCTCTAAGAGACTTAAAGGGTTAGAGGAGGTCAGGGGTAATGGTGGCAGCTTTTGTCTGATATCAGCATTGTTTATAGGGATAGCTAAATCTGCATAACAAAAATTGCCATTTTAGCCCAATCCAGTCAGTTTAGGAAGCTTTTTTTTTTTTTTTTTTAAATCCTCTACTGAGTCAAGTGTCTTCTGGCTGACTAAAACCTATTTTTCAAAACATTTTCTTCTTGTTAAAGATGAAGATCTAGAGACATATTTACCATTCCTCTTTTGTAATTTCTTTCAAAGATTCAAAAACCATGTTTAAAAAAATACATCCTGTTTTATTACAACCTTGTCTGACTTCCAACATTTGAGCTTGTTAACCCTGTTCTTTTTTCTTGTTGCATTCTTCTCACTATATAGAGTACTTACTGTGCCCTATTCTCCCTTTTCCCAACTTCTGCTGTTATTGAGCTACTTACAACAAATAGATCAAGCCCACTCAGAATAAAGCATTTTTGCCAGCTTTTCAGGCCTCAAATCATCTACGCACCTTTTTCATTTTCTAACATCTCTTTTAAGGTGCCAGCATCAGAACTTCATGCAGTATTTCTGTTCCAGTGAAATTACTTCCCTACTCCTACTTGTTTATCTCATGGTTATGAAGCGATGCATTACATTTGTCAGGACATCACACAGCGGGAGCCTGTACTGCACTGTGGCAACCCCAAGACTCTTCTTGGTGTTGCTGCTTCCCCAACTCTGCAGATACAGCCTGCAGTCTATGCATGCATAACCTGGCCATGTTAAAAAGCTTTATTTGATTAATCTCTGTATACCCAATCACCACTTCACATAGTTGCCGTGTCCTCATCTTTATTTCTATTCCACCAGCATGAGTGAAGTTCACAGCTTTGTTGTAAATCAACAAGACTGTTACATTTTCTTCCAGATCACTGATGAAATTGGTTGGTCAGCATTGTTTCTAGTGCATACCATCATGGGACACCACTAGAAACAGACACATTCAGAGAAAATTTCATGTTAGCAACAGCTTTGCAATCTTCCGTTTAGCAAGTTCTAAATTCATCTTATCCAAGCATTATTGACACTAATTGCTCATTTCAGCCTTGCCATGCAGTTGCTCTTTTTTTTTTTTTAAAAAAAAAAAAAAGATTATCCTATGGCAGTGAACAGAACACATGGACATCTTTTATGTCTACACAGCAGTCTTTATCAAACAAATGTGATTCCCAATAAAGTCAGGCTTTCCTGACAAGATATATTATAAATATCATATTAACCGTCATGAAATTATATTCACACCTTTTGCCTCTATTAATATCTTTATTAATAAAATCTTTGCTCCATTTTTTATTTTATTTTTTTCATTATTTTGCAAAGGATGCATGGCAGGCTAGAAAGGTGATTGCCTATATTAAGCTATTTTACCTTTTAATGTACCACCACCAGGTGACTGAAATAATTCTCTGTCTCTTGATGCAAGTTATCCAGATTTTCTGATTGTAAACTGCAGAGTACCTGACACCACCCTCCCCCTAAAAGGACAGAGGCCCTCAGAGCAGGAAGTGTCAGGTCTAATATCCTACAGAATAAACTTTTCTGAGTTGGAATGTTTGGAATCTTTTTGTTTGTTTGTTTGTTTGTTTTTCCAGGTTCTCTGCAGCTCCACACTGCTGCCATTGTACTGAGAACACTGTGCCCAACTGTTAGCAGCCACTTCTCAAGGTTTCCTTCTTAAAAATAAATAAATGTGTGTGTGTGCATGTATATATCAATCAAGGATCTTAGAGCCTGGGGTTATGAGCATTTGCCTGTTGAGGTTTGGAGTTTGCCTGGTGGCTATGTGTTTTGAGTGATGACTGAGGTGTTGGTCCTCAGAAGTGCAGAGCTGCTGTGACACCTAGCATGTGTCAGCATCACACAGTTACTCAGGTAGGAAGAAACATCAGGAGGTCTCTAGTTCAAAGCAAGGTCAACTCTGAGCTCAGACCAGGTTGCTCACGCTTTTATCCAGCTGGGTCTTGAAAAACCTCCCTGGACAGAGACTGGCTGCACACCCTCTCTGGATGGCTTGCTCTGTTGCCTGACTGTGTTAACGGTGAAAAAACTTTTCCTTATATCTAGTTGGAAATCTGCTGTCTCTCGTTTGCCTGACATGCCCCACTACTAACAGCTTGGCTTTATCATTTCAGTTATCTCCTTGTAGGCACAAGACATCTGCTGTTAGCATTCCCCAAGAAGCCATCACATCTCCTGTCCGAACAAGCCCCACTCCCTTGGCCACCCCTCAGGGGGCAAGTGCTCCAGGCCCGACCATCCTGGGGGCCCTCTGCTGAACTCTCTCTGGGTTATCAGTGCCTTTCTGGTATTGAGGTGGAACAAGGCTGGACATGGTGCTCCAGATGGGATCTAGCAAGCACTGAGTAAATGATCTCTTCAGCTAAATGGTCTCTTTGAGCCGTGACCCTTTTTCCTCACAGCTTCATCAGGTCCCATTCCTTGTATCCTGCCTCTATTTTCCGTGTCACTGCCACTTCAGCACAGCGATTTGTTGCCCAGCTTTTGTAACTCACACAGCTCTGCCTTGTATCCTGCCTGAGTAATCAGCATTCAGAAGTAACAGTGATATTTTAAACAGATGAGAATGGGGCTGGTTTTACTAATGCCGACTGCTGTGGCAGACTATAAAGCAGAACTGAAGGAGTATGAAAAAGCTCTTCTGTCCCTTCCCAGAACAGAGACTGACAACAATGGATCAGTTTCCTACAGCATCAGCCATGGGGGCTTTTTCTGTGCTAAGAAAATATGCCCTCTCTTCCCAACCTACAGCAATTTGTATCAAAGAAAGCCTCTCAGCACTGTCTCGTTATTTATTCTGCCTGCATGGTCCCTTGGTGCAGTGGCTGCTGCCAAAGGCACATACTCAGCACGAGGCATTGCCGGAGAATGTTAAAAGCAGAAAAAGTCCCAGGAGCCAAACATATGGATGCAAAAATGTACATTCTCTTCCCACTCCAAGAAAAAGCAGTAACTGTTAGTTGCTCACAGGCTTCACGGAGCATTTAGGATAAAGAGCCCTGAAAAGTCAGGGGAATAATTCTAGATGTTGAGAAAATGGATATGATTCCACACACAGATTATTGAACATTTCATTTTACAGGGTTCGCCTGCATCATTTGCTGTGACAGCCAAGCAGCCCTCTTCAAGACCGGGAAGGAGGAAACCGTCCATTGTGGCTTCCAGATTGGCGATCTCTGAAGCACATATGCATAAGCAAGCATGCCCAGAATGCCAGAAAAATAGTAACTAAGACTAGCACTGGCTGCCCCAGCAAGTCTGTATGATATAGAGCAGTATGTATGAGGTTCAATGGCTAGAACCAGACCCACCTGTAACAGCATTTTAAACAGCTGGCTGTTCTCCTTACTATTTCAAATTTCTACAATTTCCTTTCATGTGCTCTATCACATTTCTCTCTCAGGCCTGCACAAGTCCTTTCTGTCCTTCCCAGAAGGTGATGCACTTGCTTCTCCAGGGTTTCTCTTGCTGGCTGGGCCTCCCCACATGTGCTCTGAATCAAGAGCCACAGAGCTGAAGAGGCTGAAATTCAGCAAGCCTGTGGTAAATTGGGAAAACGGAAGGGGAGATGTTCTTCGACAACATGTACACAAAAAAAGGAAAGCTGAGATTGTTTAAAGGTTTCAAGGAGGGAATTTGTGATCAATTTTGACACATTAATGGGAAGCAAATATTGGCCATTTAGGGTACATGTGGGATAGGTGCAATAAATAAAGGAAAATGAATGCTTGTGATCAGAATATGCAAAATCATCTGATGTGCAACTAGAAGGACAAGCAAATGCCTAGGCATCTTTTTTTTCATTACCATGTTTTTCCCATCCTGCAGGTGAACTTGTTGCAACTGGCTCTCCTAAATGTTTCATAAATTAGCAAAGCCTGAAGGCAACCAGACCCAAACATTAAAAATATATAATTATAACAATAATAATAATAACTCATGCAATTATTTTGCAAAACAGACATGCTCAATAAAAAAAAGAAAAAAAAAAAAGAAAGGAAGGAAGAAAAAAGCTGGCTTGGGTGCTTGACTGAATTTGGCTGACTTGGGTACACACTGACTTGGGTACTCCATTTTGAAAGAAGGCCATTGTGCACTTTTGACACCATGATGGGTAGGACAAAAGCCTTTTCTTTAGAACACTGGTTTGTAGAGATAAATCTGAACTTTCCTCTTCTGAAGAAAGAAAAACAGTGAAGAATCAGTCTCTGAAAAGCATATACAAAGCTGGTCAGCATACTTCCAGCCTAAGAAGCATATTTCATTTTAATCACTGAAACACAAATATTCACAGTTATAGGAATAGGCTGAAAGTTCAAGTCTTTTTTCTAAATGAGGCACATGAAGAGGAATTTAGACCTCTTTCTCACTTACTTATATTTCTAATGAGTTATTTCAAGCAAATACATTGCAGATGAGAAAGTCTGCTCAAGTGAAACAGCCAAATTTTTTTTTTGTTATAAGAGCTCATAGGTCCATCCCATACAATTCTGTGCATGTGAAAAGTAATTTTTGCTCAGGGAGATACTGCTCCCATCACACTACTGCTCCACAGATGTTGCTGATTTCTGGATTACAGAAGTGTGCTGTGGTTATGCCAGCTGCTAGAAATAAATGTCTGCCCCAAACATGCATGGTTTGAATATGTGAGACAGATGATGAACCACAGTAGGCTATGACCCTGATGTTACAGCTTGTGGCCTAGAAAGACTAAGTGAACACTTGCCAAAGGTGAGAACTGGGATCAACTGCAGGAGCAGGAGCTGCCTTACAGAGCTGTTTTAATCTCTTTGAAACAGTCACTGACAGGCAATCCTTCTGTCTGGTTAATTTTTCTGAACAAGCTTTAGTTTTTAAAAGATGGTGAGGCATAATCAAAGAACATATTCTTTACTGATCTTTGTCCAGGAAGTTCCTACCAACAGCAGCTTCTTTTCATCTGCACAATTCCAGTTCCAACAATCCATTTGCATCGCATTGGGGAAGTCTTATTCATGCATCATTTGCAATATGAACCATCTGTTTTACTTCAAAACAGAGATAACAGACAATGGAGTCTCAACACAAGGGATTCATTTCAAAATCTTTGTGCACATTTGTTAAAATAATTTACTTCTGAATTTTAAGCTTTAAAATGCTGTCAGACCAAACAGTGGGCTGCAAAGATCACAGTGATTTAATTAATTCAGTATAAAATGTCAAAGTTGGCTTAAGACTTTTGAGAAATAATTTGTTTATATGAATTGCACTGAGAGGAAAAGAATCTCTAGAATCAGAAGGAATTATGAATTAAAATGTAGTAAGGTAGATTTACCTTTGATGGCAACATTAGCACATACAAAAAGATATACAGTCACTAGCATGATACTTACTGAAACTTTTATGGCCGTTTCTCAAGATTTCATGTTAGAAGCACCAACAGCTTTCTTCCCAACTTCAGTAGTGTATTTATATATTCACTTTTACTATGGTTAAAATCTCTGCAGAGAAGTTTCAATTTACCCTCATTAAAACCTCATTACGCCATCTTAGTAACACAGCTCTCCTCCACCTCAAGACACTTGCTAAATTTTTCACAGCTCCCAAGGACCCCCAATAAGCTGGTAGGAGAAGTACAATTAGAACTGGGGATTTCTTGGCACCTAGGTCTACACTCAACTGTTAAGCCAACTCTCACTCTCTCTCTTTCCTCTGCCCACTCTTTTTGGTCTATATGAAGCTTTGTAGGTCAGAAATACACATAATGTCAAATCAGTTACCTCTTATCACAGCCTGCCCACTCACTCAACAAGAAAAACATACAAAACAAAAATGAGTGAATGTTCCTTGTCACAGAACAAACCATTGCCGACTCATAAAGTGGGGTAATATGATTCACTTACCCCTTCAGGGTTCACAAGCCATTTTCTTACTCTTTCTGTCAATATATTCCCTATGTTATTTAGTCAATATAAAATAACCTAAAACTAAGACCCAGTTATTTTCCTTATAAAGCTGATGTGCTGCAATTTAGTATCTGGGCAGCAGCTTCTTGAGGCTGAAAAGTGAAGTGAGCAGTGACTCTTCCTAACACCGGTGAAAAGACCCTCACTGAAGTTAACATGTGAGATCTTCATGAATGTAAGTTCATCCCAGTTAACCTGACACCCAGTATAGCAGGAAGTGGCTACTTCCCTCTTACCTGTGTTTGCTGGTACCAGACTGCAGGCTGAGGGATGGGAAGAACCACCTGGTGTCTTCTGTCTCCATACCTGGATAGGCACAAGCAGGCAGATATATTCGGTGGTATTACCTCTCAAGGTGTTCTATCCTTTGAATTATTTGTAACATATTTCCACATTTTGCAAGGAACTGTTTGGCAAGTTGGTGTCGTACACCAAGCTCAATACTCCTCTTGATGTCTAACCTAAAACTTTCTCTTTTCTATTTCCAGCCACGAGTGTGGTTTTCCTCAGGTTAAACTCCACATCAAAATAAACCTTTCTTAGATAAAGAAATGGTCTCCTTGACATTAACTACTCTTACAGGGTAATAAGTATCTCTATTCTAAATCGTCTCTTTTTAAAAAGACATGACTGAATATTTGAACTAGTCTAATATCAATAAATAGTGTTTTCTAAGCACTAATTTACCTCACAGAATTCTTCCTTAGAAAACTATTTTCCTTACTTTACACTGTTCTTCTGTTTCCATCTGTTTTATATACCTTCTGTATTTAGCATACTTATATTTTAGGATATATCACTCAGAGTGACTTGTCCTCAGTCATAGCAAGAGGCACATGCTTTTCCCTTGATGTATAATTGTTGTTTGTTTACATTGCCTAATATTTTGCTGTCTTTTCTCTTTACAACAACCCTCTGTGCATTATGTCTTCTGGAAATCTAGATTGTTTCCCAATTCTCTTTGTCAACATACTGTTTTCCCTCTGGCTAAAGTCTCCTAAAATCCCTAACATAAAGTCTTACACAGGCCTGAGTCTCTATTACTGCATTAGTCAACATTTCCTAGCATTTCATTCCAGTTTCTGCTACCTGACCTGACTCTGGCAGTGTGCAAATATCCTTCTAGTCCCATCTTCAGCTAATTTGAGGTGCTCTTCCTCAGCCTCACTTTCAAACTTCACTCTAGGCAAATGCTTATTTTAAACCTGTTTCATTCTAAATGAAACCATGTCAGCATCTTAATTCTGCTGCCATCTCAGCCTAAGCCACGCTTTGTTTGACTGCTACATGTTTTATCTAGTTCAGTAGTTTCCTCTGATTTTTTTTTTCTTTTTTTTGAAAGCCTTGGTGAATTCCAGAGGAGGAAATGCTTCTCTAGTCTGTGTTGGATTCTGTATGGCAGCAAAACAAACTGCTGTTCTTTCATGCGTGGTGACACATTATTACCAACTTTCTCTGCTTCATCTCCACAGACCTCCTTGGTTCTCAGATGACCTGTAATCTGTGAAGCAAGAAGAAAAAGGCTGCAAGTCCTCTACAGTAAGCCTTTTCTGAATCCTTTGCAGCTTTTTTGTTTGATTAAGCTGTCACTGGTGTACAGATAAAAAGAAGTTAGGTTTAGAAGCTAGAGCACAGAAATGTTCAGCTCATCAGATTTAGCAGGTCTTCAACTGTCTTCTAGATGTAGTTCAAAGTGTTGGTTTGAATCAAAGTTTGTTGATAACTGATCCAACATCCACATTTTTTACTGAACCAGATATTACGTTTTAGTCAAAAAATGTGTTGTTCTCCCCCCCCTCCCCCCCCCCAAAGGCACAGAAAAGAGACAGAAACTCACATTTTGGCTCTTTCCTTTTTTCTTTTTAATAATTATTTTTTTATTCTTCTGTCTGTTAGGTGACTCTAAGAAACACAGCTTCACAAAGGAAAAGCTATTTTTTGTCATCTAGTTTACAGCAGAAGAGGTGCTCTACCTATTATGTTGCTTTCTTTCAGGTCAACAAAGGACTCACTAAAATATGACATAAAATGCTTTTGATTATCTCATATGTAACGTAGCTTTTCTGACTGAGCTAAGTGACTGGGAAGGGGAAGAAAGAAATGGAGAGAGTAAGCAATTCTAGACCAAAGATCTGGAAAAAGTTTACTCTTTTGACTGCAGTTAAATCTGCTTTTTCTAAAGGGCTGCCTTAAGCATATCCATCACAAAGAGCTTAAATCATGTTGTAGCTGATGGGTATTTCTGTACTGTAGTCAGAATAAAGGTAACCCTGATGTCATGAAATGCCAGTAACATTACACCCAACAAAATGTAGATAAGCTAAAAGCAATGTAATATTTTTTTAAAAAATAAGACTGCTCTTTAGCTACTGCACCCAGCACCCCAGGCTAGAAAAGTAGTTGGTGCAAGTGTCTAACCTTTACTACAAATGTATTTGTACATGAAGTATCCAAGCTCCAGGACCAGTGGCTTCCTAATAAAGCTCACTTTCTAGGGCAGAATATTATGGGCTGAGAAATTTTTTAAATCACAGGGAGCAAAAATGGGTGTTTTGACTGGAGAATAGGATGGTCCACCTAGCAGCAGACAGTGGAGAGTGATTCAGACACTTACAGTTGAGAATGGGAGCTGATACAAAGCACAGCTGTAAGAAATGTAAGGGAAAATACATCAATTCAGATCTAGTCAGGCACCATGGACCCAATGGTTTTAAACAGCCTGTGATTCCACTTCCTCCCTTCTGATGCCCAGTCGGCTGTAAGCACGAGATTGTAGGTTAAATAAATACAATTGCAAACGACAGCATTTAGCTCTCTAATTACCTGCTGGTCCCTGTAATTTATTGGCCCTGCAAATCTATTTCTAGGAAGGTGGGAGCAATTCAATTACACTTCAAACAAAAGCAAACTTGGCAGGCACAGATCTGCAGCTACAGGTGCTGAAAGTGTTCTCAAGCATATTATATGAGGTGTTTCATTCAGGTAATGCCTTGACTGGGGCTTCTTAGCTGGATTCTCAGCTAGAATCACATTGTATTGCTCTGCTCCTTATTCACAGTCAGAATGTATGCTTCCTTCAGTTTTTAAAAAACAGCCTTTTAACCATAGAAGCATACAAGATGCTGCACGGATGTTTCATTTGAATATTTATGCACATTACTTTTTCTGAGTCTGGGCAGAAGTCAACAGCCTATAGTTAGTATGACCTGACAAGACATACATAAATTATGCTTTTTTTGTTTTGTTTTGTTTTCCTTATGATTGATTGATCGTTTGTTTCTATAGTAGGAGACCAGTACATGATTTTAGTAAGCAAAATTAGTGACAGACTCACCCTGCTCTTCACTAAGACAGGGTAGAATAAATAGGAACACAGCTATGTCCAGGTGATGCAGTGATTGTCTGTGGCAAGTCAATCTTCTTTGGGCTGAAATGTGTTTCCTTACAGGAGTGAAAAAGCTGAAAGTAGAAAGCCCTGCAGCCCAGCAGGATGGAGGTGATGGCTGTTGTGCAACTCATTTAGTGCCTGGAGCTGCCTTCCAGATCCTCTCTCTCCAGCACAGTGAGGAGTTTACAGGGGAAAGGAAGCTAATTCCCACAGTGGCATGTAGAAGTGTGGAGCAGTGTGTTACACACGTTTAACTGCTTTATATAATACGTTCCCGGGGTGATAATCCTCACACTATGTACGTACATAAATAGGTTTTTGTTTTTAGCACAGACTCCTTCTCAGAAACCCATTTGGAGCCTTCTTTCACATCATTTTCTTGCCAGCAATTTCTTCTTTTGCTGTAATGATGAATATCAGTACAAATGCAATACAAGCCAAACATAAAAAAATCTCTCCAGCATTACAGTTCTGAGTGCCCAGCCTAAGAGACCAGCTACATTAATACCACCACATTCCTGAGAAGGACAGCAGCCAGCAACGCACATAACGTGATAACCACAAACTGCAGACTACCATCCTCTACACCCTCTTTACCGACTATTTATACATCAGTGCCATCTCTCCCAAAGGTGCCTGAAGCAATCTGGCATAGAGGGTAGGAATCCATTGTCTTTATTACAAACCTCTTTACCGACTATTTATACATCAGTGCCATCTCTCCCAAAGGTGCCTGAAGCAATCTGGCATAGAGGGTAGGAATCCATTGTCTTTATTACAAACCTCCATGTCAGATGTCCTCAGCCTGCAAGGCTTGATTTTCTGTTTGCCTGTAGTAAAATGCTTAATCAATCTGAAAAACAGGAGGGTTTCTAAGACCTTCTGTCTGAAGTGTTTACAGTACTTGGGAAAATACTTTGGAAAAACTTCCTGGCCACCTGTCCTCAAAAAATCAGCTCCGTTTTTCATGTTCTAAGTAGTCCTTTCTTCTGTGCCTTTCTTCTGTGCCTTTACTTCTGCACCATTCACCGCACATACAGCTACTTTTGGCAGGTGACCAGCTGATAGTGGTAAAGATTTTTTCCATTATTAATGGAGACAAATAAAGTTTTAATTATGCATATACTATGGACTCCTATGGAATTGCTCAGGCAAGCACCAGCAATGAGTAATGTGGCTGTCTATGATGCTGTGAGAGCCAGACACCCTGACATTAGGGTGCTTGCAGACACCCCCTCCATGGCTACACTTGCTTTCAAAGCCTTCCCAGGACAGGCAGCAGGATGGGACAGTGAGGATGGAACACTGGCAGTGGAGCAGTTGTGATGGAGGGCCCATTTCCAGCTTGCTCATGGTGTGGTGGGGTGATGCTGGCCATGCCCAAACACAGCCCTCTCCTTCCACCCTGCCCAATACCTGGTTCTAACTTGTTGGAGTGTATTTCCCAGCATGAGATGTTACACTCTGCTCATGTGCATTCTCATAACAGGTAAACTCCAAGTGGTTTTGTTTGTTTGTTTGTTCCTTTTCTAAAATGCTCTCTGATGTGACTGTGAGTCTCAAATTCTGCCATGGTTCCTGAACTGCACCCTAAATCCAGTGTGTACAGCCATCCTGTCCATCCTCGTTCCTGCAGAAAAGGGGAGGGACTGGGTCTGCACAGCCAAGGGAGCAGGTCAGAAACATTCCTCTTGCTGTTCGATAAGCTTAGCTAAAAACCTGAGACTTTGCTTTAAAAGCTGCACAGCAAGCTTTAGTTACATGCAGATCAGCCTCAAGTCACATTAAATTGAGTATGAAATAAAAACTGACCCCAAGGTGCAGGTGACAGGGTTGGGTGGCTGACCCAGCCTTACTGGGGGATCTTTAGCTGCATCCTAATGCCACTGTGATTTCCACAGCCTCCAGCTCCTCAATCCCTCCTTTGATGTGTCTCAGTGATCTTTTCAGGTGGTTTATTCCACAGCCTGATCAGCTTTAACACAGAAAAGTTTATACCTGACCTGAATCTCTGCTTCTTTACACAGAGCTGATCAGCCTTCATTTTATCCCTCACAGTTTTGGGTAAGAAAAACTATTTTTCTCTTACTTCTTTTCACATTTCAAATGTTTGTGCAGTGTTACTATCTTCCTCTGGATTTGGGGCTTTTATTGAAACAATATGAGACTGGGTGATAGAGAAGGCATACCAACACAGGAGCAGATAGAGATCTTTAGAGTAAGCTATGGGAGAATCCAAGCATGTTGCACTATATTTAATATGTGTATATCTATGTTGAGCTAAATATGTGTAGGAGGATGCTTATGTTCATATCCATAAAAATGTACAAACATACACACACACATTAATTCCCATCATAAATATTCTTCATTAATTAGTTACTCTTTTAATGCTACAAGAAATTCTGCACACACACCAAAAAAAATCATTTCTGAATAGTCTCTAAAAGCAGCTAAGCTTTAAGCATAGCAGAATCTCTATGAGAGGAGCTAGGAAGGATTTTTTTCCCTTACATGCCTCTTACTGGATTTTGTGCACCTTATTTTCCAGAGCAGATGGATACTGGTGAAAATGTCTCAGCAGTCTGATCCCATACGGCAGGCTTTATCTTACTACTTTTAATCAAATTTATACATCCTCAAGAACACAACAAATATCTGAATGCACAGTAAAGGAGTCACAGAGCATAGCAGTATGGCTAGTGCATGAGCAGAAGCCCCAACTCCCCATGTCCCATTTGTCATAATTTCTTTACCTCATGTATATTCTTCTGCAGCCTTTTGTGCTGGGTGCCTCCAGAGAGGGACTCCATCAGCCTCTCTACCAGGTCACCAGCCATACAGTGTGGCCAGCAACGTGGGATATGCTGCTGCCTGTGTCCTGACCACACAGAGGAAGAGAATGGCACAGCCCTGGGCTGTGCTCACCCTGTCCCTGTGGGTGGCAGGTCAGAAGTCCTGCACCTATGCAGTGGGCCATCTGCTGACCTGTGAGACCTCCAAGCACCCTCCCTCCCTCTTGCAGAGCTTTCCCCCCAAGTCCTCCTGCCATGTACTCCCTATCCATATTCTTAGCTGAGCTCCTCAGGTTTTGCCCTGAAAAAAGGGACGCTGTCACACCATTCATTCCCTATGTTTGAATAAAAGCACTGTGGCTTTGTTTCTATGAAGCCTGAAGCACATTTCAAATCTTGAAAACTGTTGCAAAACCAGCAGCCTTCCCTGTGACTTAATTTTCAAAGGCACTGAGTTAATTCCCAGAAGGCGGTGGAAATGCTGTCTGTGATCAAGAGGGCTGTGTCTAAGAAGAATAAGAATTCCCCTACAACTAATTTTTACTGACTGCGTACATGAGAGCAGACAACCCTGTGGAGAGCAGGTCAAAATGGCCCTGGTACTCTGGGTATGCCCTGGTGGGACAGATCCACAACTGCCTGCACACCGGCTTGGCTTCAGTGTAAATGTACTGGGAAGAGGAGCTGGTATTTTCAGCTTCAATAAGCTTAATTTACCTGTATCTCCACCAGCTAGTTACTGTTTTACTGTTACTATGCTAAGAAGTTTTCTTTAACCCTAAAAAGCCAAATGATTAGGGGAGGAATATGGGGGAAAAAATAATGATTTCCAGCAATTCAGAACTGCAGGCTTTGAATCATTTGCCACGTCTGGAGCTGTGGCAGGGTGAGAGATGGCATTTCCAAATCATCAGCTTCTGAAAGGCAAACTGAGTGCAGCCTGCCTGCTAAAATCTGGTGAGCACTGAATTATGCAGGGAAGAAAGGAGGACCATATCATTTGCACAGCATGCCATATATTTTCTCTCTCTCTCCTTTTTCTGTCTCTGCTGCCTTCTCTAGCAAAATACTGAAATATAATCCTTCCTTCTGAGAACACAGTGAATTATTCTATTCTAGACAAATTCAACCCAGGGAAATACACTGGTTTTAATGGCATTGTAGCTGGTTGAACAAAGTCCAATTAACTTTATGGTCCAATAATCTGAAGTGCACTATTAAATTTTTCATCAAAAGATGCTGGCAGCAAAAGACAGACTTTTTATAGCACTTGCTACATGAGACCATTCCCTTGAAAACATGCTTTTCAGTAACCAGGACACTTCTCCGGCTAGTAGGAGCTTACACACTGCTAAAACTGCCCTTCATGTTTGCACTTTGGCAAGAAAAAGCTACTGCCAGAGTGTGGGCCAGCCAGCAATGCAATGTGCAGGGCAAGCAGCCAGTGCTGCCAGCCATCTCTGTCCCCTCTCCCATGGCAAATGTCAAATAGTGGAGAATCAGGAAAGAGAATTGACTGACATGCCTATTCCCATTTGTCTTCTGTGAAGCCTGGTGCCTTGCTTCCTCACTATTGGTGGTTCATCTGCATGTATTTGCTTTTTCTGCCTCCTGTTCCCTCTCCACATCAAGAAGAAATGCGAGTTTTCTGTCCGGAACTGACTGCACCTAATTTAATACCTGTTTTCTCCTTTGGCAGTGTATCTGTGTTAGTGCTTTTTAAATACTGGCTTCTCCATCATGTATCTACAGTAATTATTACTTTCCTTTACATTTTAAATGTATCTATATTAACTCTTTCTTTAAAGAAAAAAGTAACTGCTTTTCCTAAGGTTGATAAATTCCTCTACAATTTCATCCTCACAACTACATTTTTGTTGTTGTTGTTTGTTTTTGGCAGGACTGAAGGAAGAGTTTGGCCACATAAGGAATGGTTTCAGTATTACTGAGAGCTTCTGAGAAACAAACAAGTTTATATTTGATATGATTCCATATTAACAGAGGCTGACCTTATCTGAGGGCAGCCTTAAAAGGGAAGTCTGTTCGGTCCAAGGCTTGAGAGTAAACAGACAAGTGGTCCTTATGTAAGTAGTAATAAGTGTTTACGACATTGTTCAGATATCTTCATTGTTCTTAGCTGTATTTTTACAATACTTTTGTTTGTTTAATTTCCTTTCTCTACTGTAATCTTAATGCAGTCATAATGGATTTGATTAAATGTTGTTGCTCTTTCTTCGCTTATTACAAACTGCTGGCAAACAACCCCAAGCTCAAACGTGCTCCTGCAAAATCGGCTGTTTAATTACACCAAATAACAAACATGTTCTTGGTGAAGAATTTGTGAACTGAACAAAGGGATGCATCTCCTCAGTGTGCTAAATTAACATACTGCCCGTAGTTAGCAGCACAACAAATAGATTAAGAAAAAGAGAAGTAATAGAAAGGATCACTTTTTAAAGTTTACACAAAATACTTTTTCTCTAAAATATGCTTCACAAAAGTAGCAGAAATGCTGTGGAGCTGTATATTGGATATATGAAAATTTGCTTGGGATGACCTGCAGCTTGTAAGCTTTTCAGGCCAAAGACAGTTTCTCTCTGCAGTGTTCCTGATTGCCACAGCAATAAGAGAAGAAAATAGTAATTACTGTCTGCTGGGGTTTGTTCATAATAATAAATAGGTGTTGAATGTTTCCTCAAGTGAACAAAACCACCATGTCTCGCTTTCAAAATTCTTTGATTTGAACTAATCACTCATGGAAGTCATTTTATGTGTATGTGTGATTTCAGCTTGCATCCTCATAGATGATGTCTTGCAAGTGCAGACTGAGGTTTATTTGGTGAAACATCAGTGTGTACTCCTAGTGCTGAACTGGGCCTTCAGAGAGCAAGCTATGGCTGCCCAGTCACAGTAGGGTGGCTCTGTGTTGATTAAATTGAGGAGTATTACTGCTACAACTGCTTCCCAAGTCTGCTCTCATTCATAATGAGTCTGAGCAATGATCTGAACTAAGTGACTGCGCTCCCTTGGAACAGCGAGACTGCTGCTGAAGGGACTAGGATTGTATACCTATAAGGTAGAAAGAGGGATTTCTTCACCTCTACCTGCCTGAACCAATCAATGCAAAATCACTCCTGAGAAGACCTCAGCACATCAATTTTGCAGGCATTAATGCATTTTCCAAGTAAAACCCTGCATCCGTTTCAATTTTTCCCAATACTAGTCTTGATGTGAGTTGTTTTGTGGTGGGTGTAAGTAGCACAACTTGTGAATATTAAAAAGTAATCTCACAACAGGAAGAACTGTGTGAGGCACCACTGGTCATCAGCATGACAGACATGTTGAAGGTCAAAATATCGAGAAGGTCACTTACTATTTAAATTACTTTTGGAATAGAGGTCAGGCATGAAGTTATTCTGAAAAGAAAATTGTTCAGACCCCAGGGTCTGAGCACTCTAGTCATTCCTGTATAATGCCAGTGCAAACAAATACCAATTTGTCTCTATAAACCTAGAAAATCTTAAACGTGTAGAAATGGCAAATGTACAATGAACCACTTTATTCTGCAGCATTTGCAATACTGATGCCTTTGTCACTACCACCTGGTATTTTCTTAACAAGGATATTTTAAATAGAAATTTACACAAGCTGTGTTTACCTGTTAATGTAGGAGATCTGGCCACATGATACCAGGCAATACCTGCTCTGCAAAATGCTGCAATAGGCTCCAGTTTTCTTCCAAGCAAGTTCAGCCTTGGTTTTGACCAAGGTATGCCATTTGGGATACAAGCTCTTCTTTGTGGACAGAGGAGCTGAAAACATTTGACAACTTTGTTTAACTAGGCTCCTGGCAGAGCAAGCATCGGAAAGGAAACCAAAGAACCTTTTTTGCTTACAAAGATGCTGAAGGCCTTCTCAACAGATGTCTTACCTTTGGAGTTGTGCTATCCAGACAGTGTGCTCAGTCCTCTGCATGCATGCACAGTCTTGTTCTTTACATGATCAAAGGTAGACATGGACTGGCTGGATTCCCCACTTGGCTGACCTGTGCCTAGGTGAGACCAGAGGAGATTATGGTCCTTCAGCCTACAGGAGGTACAATTCTACTTGACGACGCTCAATGGAAAAATTGAAACTTGTTTATGTGAGATTGATACTGCTTCATTGTGTTCTTCTACAATCACAATCAAGAAGTTGTATATGGAGTTCTATGAATTTACAGCAATGCCTATAAAAATGCAGCAATGCAAAACTCAAGAGCTTCCATTTTGGAAAATTTTGTGTAAATCTTGCCTATTCTATTATTTTCTGTAGCTGTTCTCTGATTAAAAGTACAGCTTTACAGAGTAAAACATATAGAATTGAAGGAAGCCAGCATATGCTATTTTAGTGAGTATATTATCTAAAGTGGGCCTTCCATCTGTTTCAGAACTAATTATTACATCATCTTTATGTAGCTCGATTTACAATGAGTGAATTAAATGCTTATGTGAGTGCTTCATACAATGTGAAACACAGCTGTGACATTTTTAGAGGCAGAACAGGGCAAAATGTTCTAGACATACTGAATTTCATTTTTCTTCTGTTTACAAAAATATTCCTTTGTAGCAAATATTTTTCACACTCCCTTAGTAATACACAATTGTATTTTGAAGAACCACAGAGCATCCATTTGAATTGCAATAAAATACTGAGTATTTTTATCTCTCAAAGAAAAGATTTTGAGTTTAGTGATCAAAACAGCTATCTCTATCAAAAAACATTCAGATAGTTCTTCCTAACCTAGCTGTTGCCAAACAAAGATAGATTAAGATTAATTGCAGTAATTAAACAGAGGGACAGGGTACAGCATTAGTAGGAGCAATGTATCACATTCGTTGTTTCCAGATACTTTATTCAAAAGGAAAACAGAAAATCACATGAGCTCTAGTCTAGGCTATGTACATTTTCTATTAGCTGGTACTCATTTACAAGGCATGTGCAGTATGTAACTTACCATAGCATATCTTTCTTTAATAAATCACTTTAGCTGGTAAAAGCAAGCCAGATTTAGAACATATTTCTTGATTATACTATAGTCCTTTAAAATAGTTTCATGTGAGCATTTTTTTAACTTGCATTTTTTGTTTTGCTGTTCAAAATTTGACCGATAAATTTTAGTGAAAAAAAGGTAGAATACATATTAGGGTCTAGCCAAGTCTTTTGCTGAAAAACAAATAAGAAATATCCACCATTTTCTTCGCACTTTTTCTCTATGCAGTCTTTTTGGTGGTGGTGTTTTTTTTGGTTGGTTTGTTGATTGGTCTGCCTTAAAAGGCACTCCGCCTGAAGCCAGTTTTGGCCACATTAGTGGGCTCAGGTTACAATGTCACTGGGTTCACAGCAGGACATTGCAAATTAACTATATTGCAGTTTACAAGACTTGACCATATACCCATCTAAAACCCCAAGACACTGGTTGTTTCCACAGAATAGAAAATAAAGGACTGCCTCTTCTCCCCCAGACCATATCCTGACAGGATGAAGGGATAGAATTAAAAATCGTGCTTCTATTTAGGATAGTGGAATGCACATCAGCCAATAGAGCATGGGCTTAGCACAGCTCCTTTGCACCTCCAAAACTCCTGCTCTCTCAGCATGCTTCTTCCCCACACAGCTGATACAAGAGCAGTCACTTCTTAGCAAGACATAAGTTATTTCAATAAATAATAATACTTTAAAAGTATAATTCCTTTTATGTCTACTTCAGTGCAGCATAAGCACACCCTGTTTTGGAAGCATTGGCACAGCTAAAGGCTTAGTCATTAGTCAACAGAAGAGAAATACACAGGTTAAAAAATCAATAGGCAGTTTTGCGGGCAGAAAGGAGCAGAAAATAAACAGATCTGTGTTCGAGAAAACAAGTATGTATTTTCTTCAATTAAGCTTTGAACTGGAGAGTCAACCTGATGATGGGAGGAAAAACACTAAGCAAAACTGGGGAGGGGGAATTTGTCCCTTGCAAATAATTACCCATGAACAGTTGCCTGCTCTGACATCTTTTGATTGAGCTATTTCTAGACCTAACCCTTTGCTTGTAAATACTGATGCTAATCTTGTTTTAGAAATGTTTCAGCTTGGCAAGACATTAATAAACACTGTCCCAGAAAATGCTTGGAGTCCAGCCATACACAAAGCCTTGTTTTAATAGATGGATCAATGGTGGAGGTAGGTGAAGACCAGGAGAGGGATTCTCAGATTTCTTAGTGGCTCTTCAGACACATTTTGATCCAGTAAAGACCTGTTTTGGCCTTTTATAAATATCTGCATAAGACAAATTAGCTTGTGTTAATGTTCCTAGAAAACAAAATTCAGTTCACAGACTGAAGTTTGCTTGGTGGGAAAATAAAATTTAATATAGTGGAAAAAGCAGGCACCCCGTAATGGTAGAGTCATCCAGAAGGACAGCACAGTAAAACAAGGGGATACCTCTTCATATTTGGACTACAAATTCTCTAGCAGTTATAGGATCATCCATTACTAACTATTCACTGAATGCTTACAGAAAGGGAATCGGTTGTGTAGGCCAAAAGTGATTTGTGATTACAGACTCTAAGCCTCCTTATAGGGGTCTGATCATCAGGAACCAATGTATTCAAGAGGCACTCTCAAGATGCTTTTGAAAACCGTAAGTCACCATCTGTTAAATAAGGAGAAAATTACAGGAAGTCTTCTCTTATTGCAATGGATTGTTATTATTAGTTGTTAAAATAGATTGGCAGCATGTGCTAAACAACCACAGATAGGTCCCCAGTATTGCAGAAAGTTTAATACAAACACAAAATATGCTGAACAAAAGAGACAAATTTAAGTCTAAGCAGCTTACAATCTGAATAATGCATTAACAGGAAATAAAGAAATGTTATTTTCCTTATTCAGTGCATAGCCGTCAATAAACTTTCACCACATATCCACGGCTAAAGGCCTTCTCACACTATGCCAGGTGAAGGGTGTTAATAGCAACAAGTGTCACTGGAGGGAAGTGGTGAGCGGGTCTTTGGTACAACCTGTTGTTGATAAGAGTGATCCCTGTCCAACTGAAGAGTGAGCTTCAGCTGCCAAGCAAATTGCTTTTGTTTGATCTTGCTACTGCAGCCATGTAGGGAAAGGTGCCAAGTACAATTCTGAAGTAGCCTTCTAATAGTGGACAGCTAACATGAGAGGTTGCTCTGAGTGGAAACACAACACACACAGTTATTTATTTCCTGGTGTGGGAAGGCTTACTGTTTTCTAACACATGATGATGAATATAGCATTCATAATTGAAGAAAACCTTAGGTTCTCTTTTGGCTTAGGCAGTATCTGAATTGTGGCCTAATCGTTTGTGTGTGACATCCTGCAGCCTGTACTAACAAAAAATATATATCTTTTGAATTGCACAGACAGAGTAAAAGCCCCAAACAGAATCTGACAGGGACCATGTTCACCTTCCCCTTCCATAGCTTTTCCTTAGATTCTTACGACCAGCAGAATGTTTATGGAAACATATTTAGAAATACATTATTAGCAATACAGACTTTAATATCATGATTCTGCTTCATTCTGTTAAAAAGAGAAATATACTTTAGCATCAAAGTCAATAACTCATTACAGAAGTCACCATCTAGTGGTATGTAAGAACACGTACTGCTGCTATTGAAGTTTAGAGGTGGTTTTAGGGACTCAAAATAACGTCTTCAGTTCTGCTCAGGATGAACTTGTGTACTTCAAGCTAGCCTCTCAGTGAATATATATATGGTGTATAATATCAGAATATTTAATAATGCATTTTATGTATTTTATATGCATGTATTAATATATTAGTATCTATATTTTAAGCAAATCTGGTGTTACTCAGAGCAAAACTTCGTTCAAATGATGCTTTAAAATGATGGTGCGCATCAGTGAAACAAACCATCTGTTTTTAGCCCTCTCTTCTCTTTATTCATTTATATTCTTTGCATCTCTTTATGTGCATCTATAGCTATACATACATCTTTAACCAATGCTCCACGACATATCCTTTAAAGTGTCTGTATTTCTAACTAACCAGCTGAGTTGCAGAGAGAAACTCGTGGTTAACTAATACTACTCTATAACTGCTGGAACAAGTGACATCTCCCCCACTGCAGCTATCTGTTCAGAGGGAAAGCTATTAGGACTGACAAAGAGAAGCTCATTCTTGCTCATTATATTCAGAGCCCTTACAGATGAGGCAATTTTTCACTCTTCTCAGTTATGATAAAAACTGAGGACAAATACAGCATTATACTCTATTCTGCTATATCTAAAAATGTTCTGAATTTATTTATCCTTCAAGTAAAGTTGTATGCAAACCAGCAGTCTTCCCCTCCCTTCCCCCAGTCTACCTTTCTTATCTGCATTTATATTTAGCATTATCACTGAGCCAAATCTTTGAGACCTCATTTGACTTTTTACCCAATCTTTCTTCTTGCATTAGTCACCATATGAGATTTGTCTGACTAAGAACTAAATTAAGACTTCACACAGAGGATGTGCACTAGAACTTCTTGATGAAAAAAAAAAAAATCCCATGGCAAACAAGATAAGACAAATTACAAAGGTGCATGATAGCAAGCTATGGCATTTCTGCTGTTGGGCTTCCAAAGCACCAAGGGATATGTGGTATGGAGCTGGAGGTGAAGAAATGAGGTAGGCATGGTGAGAGGAAGGCTGGTCTATAAATAAACAAGTATGATTAGCACTTGACCATGTGCTAAACATTTGTTGCTGGGACTCCCATGGAAAGAGCAGTGTCATCTGTCACAGAGGCTAATACAAGGTGCTAATAAAGGCTGACTTACCCTCTTCACTGCAAGGTTGCAAACTTGACCCCTTTACACGGCTCTAACTACCACCTACTTTTGTAAGGCATCTATTATGGTGACCTCTAATGTCAAGGCATTGTGGTGAAAGATCTTTCCATGGGTGAGTGCTACAGTGATAGAGCCAGACTTCATTAAAGGCAAGAGCACAAAGGAATGAAACCACCTAACAAAACATTTTGCATGCTTTGGGCATGAATTTGCAAAATTTAATCTGAAATGCAGAGATTTTAAACACTGCCACCAGCTTTCAGTTCGTGCCTTCTTGTACTGAGGTCTGGAAGAAAAGGACAAGAGATAACTCTCTAGAGTCATCAGGTTTTGCTCCCACAGTAGCAAGATACCACACAACAGCTTAGGCACAGTACCTGCCCATATTTTTTATACTGTTGTAAATGCAAATAAAATATTTTACCTTAAATTCCTCCATTTAGCTACTGTATTTTAGTTCACATTTATCTTTGGTTAAAAGCAGGGTTCCTGCAGTTCAGCTCAAGTGAGCTGACTTCTTAGACCTCACTTGGCTGCTTCAGCCTGTAAAGTCCGCCTTTGTGGTCCTCTGTGGTGTCTAGGGAGGGGAAGAAAGCTGAAGGAATAGTATTGAGTCAGATATCCTGAGAGCCCTAGTGTCAATAGGAGGAATGCAGAGTCATACTATCAATACCTAAGGCTATGCATTACCCTTAAAATACAATTCAGTCCTCTCCTGGATGAATTTTCTGTGTTACTGTATTCTTTTCTTTTCTAAAGGCATGCTATCTTATAAGTAGCCAAGAGCACCCCTTGACTGACCTTTCCTTCTCACCAGTGCTCTTAAAAAATTGCTTTTTGCAGATGGGGTCTAAAAGGCAAGATAGAGCACTTAAAGTTGGGGATCTGTAGCACAAGCATAGAAGAAATAAAACCAGAAACACTTTAGAAGAAACCAAGAAGCAGCAATAAGGACCCTAAAAGAACAAAGTGGATTTAGGGAACACTGAGGCTCCACTGCTGTTACTGGAAGTACGTGTACACGGGAAAGATGGATAGCCAGAATAGGCAGCCAGGTCTGCAGGTGGTACAAATTAGCATTGCTGTGGTAAAGTCAGAAGCACTGCACTGATTTACACCAATAGGGACTGAGGACTGCTGCTAGGAAGGAATGTGTAGCAGCCCTGCAATACACAGATTTACTTTCTCTGGAGAATATTGTTTCATTCCCTCCCGTAGTTTGTCAGTGACTGCTCCCTGGTGAGAACATGAAGAAGTTGTCAGGTCTATTAACCTTAACAAATGTAAATACGAACCCAAAATGTGGAAAAATGCTCTCATCTGAAATGAATTTCATTGTAACAGACTGCTGAGTTAAACAGTCCCTTTTGCAGCAGACACAGAAACACAGCCACTGAGAAAATTGTTTACCTCATTCTTTTCAGGTTGTCCTTCCTGCCTTTCTTTTGGTTTGGTTGCACACCTCACATAAGCAACTGCATTGAAGAAGGTAACTTCCCTAGTGGAGTCACTTGTCAATTTATCACAAATAATTTACTTTCCATTCAAGACTGTTGTTTGCAATTTAATGCACCTGACAAAAAAAAAAAAAAAAAAAAAAAAAAATCTTACCCACCAACTTGCTCACAAAGATGCTGGTAGGAGCAATCTTTATGCTCAGTTCTTGTAGCAACTGACTGGAGCCAGGAGCCACATCCCCTTATTTCTCTTCCGTGAAGGAATGGCATGACCCCTGACCCCCGCTCCACTGTGAAAGAAACCCTGTTGCCTTTTACAGGTTGTCTTCAAACATGGACAACTGTATGGTATTAGACTAAGATCAATGCTGAGAGTTTGAAGTGTGTCTTGGTTCGAGATGGAGCTTATAAAATTTACATTTCCTATGAACTCTTTGGAAAAAAAAAAAAAAGTAATTACCATGAGACTCACTCAACATTTCTTTTAGGGCCATGGCTGGACCCATACAGGAGGTCCTAAGGGACCCTACTACACTATGGCTGGGACACTGGGAGCTGTGGGAAGTGGCCTATTTCTCCTTGTGAAAATTTGATTCCTAAAGAGCTCCCAGCATGGACCATTACCCTGGAAGGGATGGAACGGGGCTAGAGGGAGGACTGGACTCAGGAATTCACTTGGCAGATCTTCTGCATTTCCTGCCAACATACACACACATGCTTGCAAAAAAAAGCTGGATAAGATCCCACTAAAATTCAGTCTGTGCTTTGGGATGGGTAGGACTTGCAGAGCAGATCTGCAGCCCTTCTGCAGCTTAAGAAAGGGAGGATCCAATGTTCAGCTAATGCTCTCAGATTCAGTTCACTGAGAACCAGATTCATTCACAGACTGAAAGCTGAACACCACAATGTTTAAGAAGTTAGAGGCCAGACTCTGCTTCATGTCCGCAAGGCAGGATTACATGTATGTGCTGAATGGGGATGGTCAGGCTCCGGGCTGCAGAAATTGGACATGTCACAGGACTGAGCGTTGTGCGGCTGTGGCATGCCCATCTATCAGCTCTCTTAGAGCGGCTGTGCCCTCCAGCCAGGTGTATGCAGGGAGGAAGCAGCCTGCCCAAGTTTGTCTGTCCAACCCTGTAAGTGCAGGGGCTGCGACTGAGGACTGCCATGTTCTGAGTGTGGGTGTCCAAACCTGGAGACAGGATGCTGAAAGCACAGCTGGGGAGAGAGACTCAAATTTCACCCTGCCTTATCTGCAGTTAGCTGTGAAGGTGGGTTTCAGCCTGGGGACTCAGGTATCGGTACTGTGCTTTCAAGTGTTGGCAAACACCCTGTTTCCTCATAATACAGGGCAGCAAGAGAAGGGGGAGGATTCTCTTTTCTTAACAGCCTAGAGACTGAAGGTTCTTGCTCAGTCACCAGGCTTTGAACTTCTGAGTAAGCCAACATAATGAGAATTCAGAAGCAACAGGAGAGTTGTCTTAATATGCAAGAATATTCACAAATCATTTCCCTGGTATATTGCCACACCTTTGCGCAAGGAGACAAAGGAAAAAAACAGGACTCATATTTGACAGAATAACTTAAAATGTTTAAAGGATACATGTACGTAAGGTCCCTCTAGCTCCATTTGCATTTGGATGCAAAAAGCTATTTGTTTTTACTGTTCTTCTCTTCCATTAAAAAGACATTTAAACTTCTGTGGAGATTTGATTTCATTTTTGAACTTTCTGCTGTTCGTTGGTTTCCAAGTCAGAGGTAAAATGGATAGCCCTTCATTTTATTTAGCATGAAATGAATTACAAGAAAGTGGGACCTCTAGGAATAAAAAGCCTTCAGACTCTATGTTCATGTAAGTGTAAAATGTACTGCAAGGCAGAGTGCTTCTCCAATTTTGCTACACATTTGTAATAATAAAAGAATGGACTCTGAGGAGAAGTGAGCCATGAGCTGTGTGATTCGAACAGTTACATTAACACACAATAAAAAGGTGCAAAGGTTCAAGGCAGTTTTCTCTCAAAAGGAAAAAATATGCAGAACACAGAAATGCAACAACAACAAAGACAGCAAATTAAAGACTGGATGGCATACTTGATAAATGTAAATCCAGACTAATTTCCATCTGAAAATAAAAAAAAAAACTCACAGTTGCAGCTATAGCAGGGGAATGAAGTCAGGAACAAATGAGGAGACAAAGGAATGAAGGAAGGATCATATACATCGTAACGCACTATTATCGGTGGTTGGATAAAATGCAATGTGGGAATGAATGGGAACTGGTACCAAGACGATAATTTACAACACAGAGGTACACAGAACATTGTGTCGGTGTTTGGTAAGAGGGAAAGCTAATGCCTGAGTCATTCACAAAGAGCTGACAGTCTGTTTATAATACCCACATCTGTCACACTGCACTCTGTTGTAATCACACTCCCCTTGATGGGAAAGGAGAAGATTATGTACATCCCTGGGGAAGGATGTACTCATAAGAATCTGCAGACAACATTCAAAGAACAATCCAGTAAGAACTTGCCTAATTCAAGAAGCAATAGAGCATACAGTGCCAGTGAACCACATCCCATATATAACAATGTTAAAAGAGAAGGAAAGGCAGACTCATCACCGAACAGACCTTCAACAGCAGAGTTAAAGCCAGAGAACTGTAAACTGAGGGAAAATATCTAATACTAACTAACTCCTCCTGAGCTGCACACAGCTAACCAAGGCTGGGTCTTACTGAGACTGACTTTTGGCTTTGGGCATTACTTTGAATGAATGTTAATTATAGGACAGTGATACCCTTGATACCTCAAGGGTTTGTTTGGGAAGTGGAATCGTAAGAAACTTGGTGTTTCACTTGCTTTGTGCTTGAATGCATAATTTAGTCTAGGTTTGCTCAAAATTTGACCGTAATTTGAACTCAGCCCAAACTGGCAATAGGGTTTTGAAACCTCTTCCTGCATAAGCTTACCAGAAAGCTAACAAGCTTCAGAAAATTGGCTAGTCAATTCAACAGCTGCAAACAGTTACCAAATCCAATCTTATGGAATGAAAGCTTTTTGCTTTTAAAAAGAACATTTCACATAGCCATCGTCTTATTTTCCCTTTGTACAACAGTTTAGTTGCAAAGATATCTCAGAAGGCACACTTAGGGACAGAACAGAATAAAATCGCTTAGAAGCAAGTCCTGCTTGTTGAATACCTAGAAGAAAAAAAAAACACTATGTCTCTGACTTTTTTTTTGAAAAACTGGCACAAAATGCCTATCCACTATGGAGAAAGTATTTTTTTAAGACTGAAACACACTGAATTTTGTACAGAAATACAGAATTCTGGGACAATTTGCAAATATTTTCTTCTATTGACTCTTTGAAGCAAACTATATTGAAAACTAGCTATCGTATTTTCAATTTAAATTCAGTGCTAAACAATTATATTCCAGGATGCCTATGTAGCTCAGCTTTTAGGGAAAAAAAAAAGAAAAAAATAGATAAGGAGAATCAATAAGGTTTTATACTAATTACGAATCTGTAACAACTCAGAGTAGTCTGCACTCCTCCACTGATAACATCAGTGTAATGGTAGTGCCAATGAAATGACAAAGATTTGAACCCTTGCAAGATAATGATAACATTGACTTCTGTTCAGCAAAATAAGGATTAAGGCCACGTGATTTTAGCAGTAGAAGCAAAATGACACGTAAGAAAGGTTCTATTAAAAAAAAAAATGAAATCGGAAATAAATATTATTGCTGGATTAAAATCTTTGCACAGATTGCAGAGCTTTGTGAATCAGTCACTTGAGCCTTGCCCCTTCTCTCCTGCTTATCCTGTAGCGACATTTCCTTGGCAAAAAACAGCCAAGAGCTGCAGCTACATGGTGTTCACATTTTCCTTTTTCAAGGAGACAACCAGCCACTGCCACTCCTGCTGTTACACCTGTGAGTGCCAAAAAACCCACCCCACGCCAGAAACTCAGCCAACATCACTTCCCAAAACAGACAAGGGAGCTGTGGGTTCAAGGGCAGGGCTGGACATCAGTATTTTTCCTCAAGATGAAGGTGTTACCAGCTCTGCAGGGTATGGTTATTTCATGAGCTGAGCCCCTAAATTGAGGCATGTGTATTACCTGTGGTAAAGCAACAACCTGTTCTCTACACATCAGGGGAAGATGTAGCATGCTTGTCAGAGCCTTATGCCTTGACAAATCTGGGAACTGGCTTGGGTATATGCAGATAGGCACCTGTCACATATGCCTTCTGTATTCTCGTTGTATAAATGACATTGCCACATTTTACAGCATTGTTTTTAATTTTCCTCTCACATCCCCAGTAACCCATATGGAAGGAGATCCTTGTAGTTAGACTACTCCAACTGTTTTCATGTTGCAGCTTTGTGGATTTGCTCTGGTTTATACATATTGCGTCTGAATACATGTAAATATACACTTAAGCTAATAGGAGCTAATAGGAGATCTCATGTAAAGCATCATAGAGAAGGTCATACATCCTCTCCCAGAACCCTCAGACTGTGGTCTATGGTTCCAGGAGGTATTTATTTACATCTCACAGCCTATTGGTTTCAGGCATACCTGCACAGGAGCTTTACTGCTCTCAGGCTTGAGTTTATACTGTTGTCCTTATTGTTCCTCTTTCTTCCTTTAGCTTGCAAAATAAAGCTGTTGCATATCTATACTTTGTGTCATGTCTGTAAGATCTGTAGGAGAGTACCACTTTTAGAGATTTTGATCCCAGAAGTGGCCTTCAGCTACTGTCCTTCAAACTGTCCTTTGAGTACTTGCAACAAACAAACAAAAAACCAAAACACATTTCTTCAAAGAACATCTCCACTTTGGAAAGACATTGAAAGATGGAGAATCTATTGCTTCTTCTGAAAGTCTGTTTTAATCTGTCCTACTAAAATAACATGTCTTTATCTTCATGGTTCTTTCTGTGCCCTTGCTTGCTAGATTAGATAGATGATTCACTCCCAGTATTTTTTCCCTGGACTGTTGGTATACTGCAACTAAGGAGTTTCGTTATCATGGGTTCCTTCTCTCGTGCCTGGCACCAAATGCATACTTTACTCCTCATACAATCCTATAGGGGATGCTGCTCCTTACAGAGAAACAAATTATATCATTCCTAGCTTCTTTTACATGTACAGTTTAGCATTTTTGTCATGTTAACACATGTCACTGTGTGCTGCTACCTGGAACAATATGTCAGTCCTGTGTTTCTCTATTAGCTTTAATTAAAAGATACTAATGCCTAATAATGTAAAGGTATTCTTAATTCCAGCCTCTACCAAAAATATCCGGACTGCTGTTAGCCATGCTGGCTCACAGACCCTTTTTCCAAAAAGCTTAAATACGTGGTTACATCCTGCAGAGTGTTTAGTACTTACACTGAGTGACATGCTCGCTATGGTGGTTTACACCAGAAATCATGTTCTCTAAGTCACAATTTTTCTTGTTGGACGTATAAGTATTTCAGAGGTAGCTAATGAGGATAAACAGGCTTTCTCTGGAACCACATATGTGGCACTCTTAGATTTCCCTGTAAAGACCATCAGACAAATACAGCGTCTGACCAATTCTAATTTACCTGTCAAAGCCCAACAGTGTAGCAGTCTGTGTGATCAAGACGATGCAGGGAATGCTCTCTGTTTTGTCCATTATTGGAGCTCCAGGAACTCACATCTACAACTGCTGAAATTTCTCTCTAAAATCAACACAGCCTTAGCTACAGGCAGGTCTAGCTCTGGAGGGTGAGGTTGTCCTTCACCCAGGGAACTACTATGGAGATTTTTTAGCCATCTTCTCTTCACTGATCCTTTTTGTGGAGTAGGTCTCTACCCACAAATTGCATCTGGAAGGTGGAGAGGGCAGAGAACTAAAAGCAAGGATGTGTGGTCAGTCAGAGTGTTTTTAAAGAAAATCATAAAAAGTTATGTTCAACAACATGCAATTGTCTACAAAAAATGTTTGGGTTTATCAGTTGTACCATGCTTCCTTTTTAATATCAGAAAAGATTAAATGCAGAAACACTACAACTTTTTGTAGCCAGAGAAAAGGTTTCATCTCTGATATGATGTTGAAAGCCAGAGTGTATAAACAAAGACAACACAAAGTCATCCTGAATAGCACTTAGCATCTGATTTCCTTCTTAACTGCTACTTGGGCTCTTTGAATGATATTACATTGGCCTCATGAATTGCTAGTCCCTAGATCTGAATGCTAATTTAACATTTCAAGTTAGCATATTTATCGTATACGAAGTTAGCTATAGTATTAGGAAAAAACACCTGAAAAATACAATACAATAAAGGACTTCAACTAAAAACACTTTTTCATAGCATGCCATGTAGTTTTCTTCACTTGCACACTTCTATCAGCCCCAGCTTAAATAATTCCATTGTCATAAAATTCAGTTTTTAATTTAAAATGTTACTTATTTTAATCAATTTATTTTTACATCAGCTCATTAAATTCTTTACATATGCAACTGATGCTAAATTTTATTTGAAACATCACTTTAAGAGAATAAATACTGAGCATTTCTCTTTAAAGTGTTCAAGTTTTTTCACAAAAGGATTTTTTTTTTCCCTAGGGCTGCATTTGAAGTTGGATAACAAAAATAAATAAATAGATAGATAGATAGATAGATAGATAAATAATTTTGACAGATATAAAAGAACTA